AGTAATGCAGCATCTTTCCGAATATCAGATGGTTACCAGGCAGTCCCCGCGTCTCCATAACTCTCCATGCCTTTCAAAGAAGGACCCAGAGCTAGCACAGATGGTTAAATTTAGATCTGTCATCAAGTTAAGATGAACATTTTTTAAAACATCCCATTTACAACGATACACTGCTAGTTATGTCGCGCCACATCAAGCACGCTGCTTTTTGTCCTCACACTTTCAGAGCTCTGGACTATTCTGAAAGGTGTATTCGAGATTCCAAGATTTAATTCCTAACCATGCTAGGAAAGATATGCAGCTGACAAAGAAAGTCAGAAGGTCAGAATATAAGTGCACGTGCTGAAAGATGTCCTGAAATTCCTTGTCCACTCACAAATGAGATTTCTCACCCCGCCTGCCCTCTTCATTGCAAATCTCTGTGCAGGAGGATAATACATGGACACAAAACTAACATCAGAAATGGCAACATTCAAGAACCAGTGCAAGAAGATTTCAGATTTCTGCTGATGTCAAAGTAACTCTTCTTCAAAAAAGGAACATCAAAGGGCATGAAATTGCTGAATATATTGGAAGTCATAAGGTCACAAAACTAGTTTAGTCCTCCAAAGTAATTCTTTGGGCTGGATGTTCTGCAAAAAACCTGGGGGGGAGGGTGTAGGCGAGATGATAAAACACTTTTGCCCCAGTGGGGAGGAAAAAAGGAAAACATGCAGAGGACAGCCTTCCCCAGTCTGAGCATCCTCCAGAAGTTTGGACTTTAATTCTCCAAATGTTCAGAAATGGTCATGGTGGCTGGGAATTCTAGGAACTTAAGTCTTCCAGGGTTGAGCTAGAGCCCCAAATACATAGTCTCATCCAAATACGGTTTCATGTTTGAAACTGACCATACAGATCCATACTTCCCATTCAGAGCAGATCCACTAATCAACTGAAATACAGTACTGAGAATTATTTCAATGCTTGGGGGTTCTCCAGGCATTCCCATTTACTGGGTCATTGACGTCAATGGAGCAAAAGAATTCATTAGCACAGATTGCAATGAAAAGGGGAGGAGGTGCTCAAATACATTGCCTCCCACCCACCTTGGGGCCTCTCCTAGTCTCTCAAAGGCCTGGAAATGCATACCTAAAAAAGAGGAAACTTATTTGTATGAAGTGAGCACCTGTGTATTTAGAAAGACTGCCTCTCATTTAAAAAGAAGTGCAGTGTATGACACTGTAAAGATTGAAATCCTAAGTCTTCTCCACAGGGCATGACTTTGGATGGTCAAGTTCAAGGCAGTTTTCTTCTTATATTTTCTCTTTAAACCAGGTTTGACTGGATGGACCTTAAAGGATTGTTGTCAAACAGAGAAAGATCCTCTGTAAAGCAGAACACAGTAGCAGGACAGGAACCGGGGAACATTTGGAATGGGACTCAGAATGTGGCGGTTTGTAAATGTCTTAAGAATCAGCTTAATTGAATAAGTGTAAACCAAAATTTAAGCTATCATGGCTGCAGCATCCGAAGATCCTGTCACATTTTCTTTTATTCTGCTCTTTCCCTCACTAAGAGACAGATCTGAGCTTCCATATATTTTTAAACTCCTTCTCCCCAACCAGATAGTATTGCTTCTTGACTCAAGACTTCCTGACATTACTTTGCACTTAGCAAAAGCTAACCTGCCCAATACTTTCTTCATCACAGGCCCTGTATACAAGATGGCATTTGGTTCCCAGACCAAACTTTTGCAGTACTCTACCTTGAACCTCAGGGCAACTAGATCTGGGCTGCAAAAATCCAGAATACCACGAGTGGCAACTCACAAACACACACTTCTTTGGAGTTTTACAGCACAGAGCTGTCCAGAATTACAGCCTTAATGTACAGAATTTCAGCCTTACAGAATCCATTCAAACATAACTACTGAACTTTAGCAGTATTTCCTGCCATTCTGAGACCGGATCGTCATCATCATCAAAATTAAACTCTGTTTCTTCCCCCAAAGGGAAGGATTCAAAAACTCCTAGTCCCACTCACATATGCAACCTTATACTACCAACATCACTCCACCCGTTGTAGCCCTCATTCCTCCCCGAAGATTAGGTGTGGCCCCCAGCCTCAAAATGTTTGATCTTTATCTTTTCTTAATTTCTTCCAGAATCACACCCAGCATTTTTTCCCACCTCTTTTTCATCTGACGAATAACCAGATAGAAAGTAAGACAGAAGTTGTAAATCTGTACAGCTCAGAGGCTTGTTAACCTCTGAGCATGACTACACTTAGTTCCAACAAAGGAATTGCTTTCCTGTAGCTTTCGACATCTGTCTTTCTAATTGGCTTCAATCCATTGACAATCGAACTGAGACCAAGATTTTCTCTCCCATCAGATTTAAAACGATCACAGAAATAGTTACTGTTCTTGGAATGGTTGATTCAGCCTCTTTTATATTCACTGAAGTTTTCCACTGAAATGCTTCCTGCCAAGCCGTCTCACATGCATTGTATGGTTTTAGAGAAATGCAGATAAATGGAGACAGAAAAAGTAGAATTCTAAGAAAATTAGGGACAGATTAGAAGGCGTGTTTACTCACGCAATGTCTCTTCTTCCAGATTCTACTGCTGGATTCTGATCTGAAATATGTTTCCATCTAGGTTTCCAACCTTGTCCAACCTTGTTATATCCCCCATAATATCCATTCTATCCATCAGTTTCAGCTGAAGCTGAAGCTGGAATTGTCATAAAATCTGTACTGTATTTGAATGCGTTTTTAAAAGAATGATCTTATTTTAAAAAAAACCAAACCCTCACCTTTAATTTGGATCAAAAGTCATAATGGACACTCCTGTTTCACCTCACACTTCCATGGTGTCTCTGTTCTTGATACAGGATGCTGTCCAGCGCCCAAAGCAAATTAGAGGGTGGGAGATGTTCAAACCGTGCCCCCAAATCCTTTGCTTTCTCACAGAATGAAATTTCTTATCCCTTCAGCCCTCTGCACAGGGTCAGTCAGTCCTAGGGTCAGTCTCCGGGCGAAAGAAAAATAGATAGATACAAATGCAACACTTAAAATGGCAACGTTCAGAAATCAGCAGGGAACGTTTCAATCTCCAAGGTCACTCCGCTGCAGAAATGAAAGTTGCCATTCTTTAACAAAGAAGGTAAAAGGAGATGCCAAGGTAAAATTGGAGAACCAGAATTTATCATTCTGTTTGATTGCTTTGATTCATTCAGCTCAGGGACTAGCTTGCTTTGTCGTCTCACTTCTCAAGATGGTGAGAAAACAAGATCCTGCTAACAATAATTTGGAGAGGGGTTAGGGAAGGGTTTGTGAGCTAAAAGTCCTACTTTCTCCTAATCTCACTGATTAGGAGAAAGCTAATTGACAGCTAGCCTTCAAAAACTCTTTGTGTACAATTTCTGATGAAATGTGGTTTTTGTAGTACTTTTTTTTTCCTGTAGCAGCTAAGTCTCAAGAGTGTCCTACTTTGCAGAGTTCACCTTTTTAATTATCACAGGATAGACTTTGGTTTGACAGAACCAACTCTGACCACCAAATTATCCTAAGGAAGGTGTTATCTGAACATGAATTTGCTCCCTGGGACTTGACTTTTCTTTTTCCCAGTACGTTGCCTTATCCTCCTTTCCACTAATGCCTTTTGGAGAAATGAAGTAAGAGTATCTTTCCTCTTTGCACTAGGAACCAAACTTTCACACAAGCATGTGTGTGGAAGACATGATCACGCACAACCTGCTTGTGCATGTATTGGACTGCTTCATCAGCCTCCTTCAGAGGTTTTGCTGAACATACCAAGGGACAGGAGGAAACATGAGGCATCAACTCTCCCTTTTTCCATCCTCACACTTCAGCGCCATAATACAGGGTCCCCCAGTTTGGTGCCCTTCAGATGTGTTGGACATCAACACCCATAACTCTCAGGCAGGTTGGGGAAGCTTAGAGTTACCAGACATCCGGCATGTCCTCCTTTTTGTCCTCATGTCCTCTGTCCGGCAGGCATAGCATTAATATCAAATATTGTTCAGCTTTTTGAGTAACTTTTTATTATTATTATTTTGGACAGTTTTCACAACAGTTATTCAAACTTTCGCATATTGTGACCTTGTAAATTATCTACTTCTTTCTTTTCCCCGACCATCAACAGACTTGGCAGCCTAGATTGACATTATCTAATGTATTTCCTAATTCCAGCAATCAGTTTCAGTCCAGCCCCTTCAAATCTATGAACGCCGTTGTCTGTAGATCACATGACTTGTCCATACTTTTCTAGGGTGAAATTTGAAAAATGCGTTGTCATCAATTTTATATTATCACTAGAATATGTTCTGGAAAATAAAGAGTTATTGGAAAAATATTACAATTGAAAAAGCAATCTTTCTGATGGTGGAAAAGTAATTCCATATACATGTAGAGCTAAGAATCTTTTTCGCAGTTTTTCGCTGTCATTTTTGTTGCAGATACCAAGAAAAGCAGCATGTCCTCCGTTTCCCCACTTGTCCTCCTTTCCAATTGTCCATGTCCTCCTTTGCCTGTTCAGATATCTGGTAACCCTAGGGAACTTAGTACAACTTTTGAACATCTTTTAAAGAATAGTGACTTTGGACAGGTAATTTTATTTGAGATGCGTAAGAATTGTAATTTTGGATTAGATCAAAATTCTTCTCCCCCCCCCCAAAATATTCTTTGCAAAAAAAATCTTAGCCATAAAGATGCCAGCCCTTTCTGCTACACTATTGGAAGAAAAGAAAATTTGCTGGCTCTAAAACCTCTTTATCCACAATGACTCTCTTCCAAAATCTTATTAAACGAAATGTGTTATATGCGGCAACTAGGAACGGCATGCGTTATATGCAGCAACTAGGACCCAACTCCTGGCGGAACTCCTACCACTTTCCTCAGGTTTCATCGCTTTGAAGCGTGATCCTGCCATCTTGGCTGTGGGAACCTCGGCTGCAATCCGCCCCAGCTTTAACCGTGCCACCAAAAGAGATAGGGCAGTTTCAGGTCTGTCGCCATTTTGGATCGGAAACGAGGCTGCGGGGGCCGATGGAGGGCGGCGGCGGCGGCAGCAACAGCGTTTTCTCGCAGGTATTCCGTTGCAACAGGGTGTGGCGCCCTAGAAGCCCTAGGCGTGCAATTTCGTATTTGCAGCCCCAACCCTTTTTCCCTTCCTTTGCATCAGTGTTCGGGCTTGCAGTTCAAGGAACTCTAAACGCACCCGTCTCCCCTTTCCGGGGGCCCTCCCGATGTATTAACTATAGTTCCCATAACTCCCGGCCAGTTACCGGAGTTGCAGTCCAGCCACAGACTGGGAAAGGCTGGCTGATCCGCGTGGGCCTTTCGCAGTAGGGGCCGTTTGCATTCGGTTGATAAGCCGCCTGATCCGAAAAGCAACTCCAGGGGACGTGAGTTAGATGAAGCAATTGCAAAGAGAGAGAGAGAGAGAGTCTTGAGACACTTTCAAAAGTCACCAATGCTTTTATTATCCTGCACGCCCTCCTCCTCAGAGGCATGATGTCTTGGGCTGAGAGAGAAGTACATATTAAACACCTTGGTCTGGGGTGGGAGATGGGGAATAGGAATAGGAAATGAAACGGAGCACACGCAGACAGTGATAATTGACGGTAGCCATTCACAAAAATCAAAATCGTCCCCAGCATTAGGGCAATTTGTCGCCTGATAGATTAGTGCGACCTAACTCCGCTTCACGTCCCATCCCCCAGGCTCCCCCGGGCACAGCGTGCAACTGTGGTGCACACTCTGGGCCAGAGATGAAGGCGTCTGCCGGATCCTGTCCGCCCAGAAGAAAGAAGAAGAAGAAGCCGAGCGGCTTGCAGCTCTCACAGGACGCCTTTGGTATTTTCCTCTGATTTCTTTGCACAAGTATGTGAGGAATATTAGACAAGAGGCTTGGCCAATGCAACTATCCCCGAGCTACCTTGATCTGCCAGAGGGAAAGGATCTCTGGGAACCACACATTCTGTTTCTTCCATCCTTGCTGATTTGTTTCATTTTTCATTTCAAGTGTTTTATGGTCTGCCCGCTGTCCAGAGGGTCTTGTGGCAGTTTGCTACTCATAAAAAGGGAAAAGAAAATCGTACAAGTAAAATGAATTATAACTTACTTTAAACACACAGAGTAATAACCACAGTAAAACTGATGGAAAGGCACAAGGAAGAGGAAGCACC